TAATCTATGCAGATCAGGTCGCCATTATTCTCAGTTTTGAGTTGTGTATTTGTTTCATATACTGTATTTATGTGTTTTCCTTATTGATAGGCTAAACACATATAAAGAGGAAATGCACTTAAAAGTATCAATTCCAAAGTCCAGGATTTACATTTTGTTAAGTATGACTAAGCAAATTCAAATAATTTTCCAGATGTTTTTGTCTGCATTTGATAAATGGGAAAACACCTATCTAGACCATTGTTTCCATTGTTTGCAACTCCTTTTTTTCTGTAAGACCACCTGTCATGGGTTTTTTTGGAAATTCCAGAAGCATTCACATCAATTAAATAGAGACAAACTCGATACATTCCCAATAACGCCACATACTGACAATTTCGGAAAATGCAGCAAATACTCCACACAACTTTCCCCCAGTCTTTTCAGAAGCACATAATAGATTTTTTCAGAAATAATAAACAATGTATGCAATTTATTCATGTCCAATTATTATCTGGAAAATAAAGTATGGAAATAAAATTATCAATTCATAAATCAAAAGTATGTATTTGCCAATAACTTCATACTACTTGAAATGTGAAAGAACTAGAAAAAATCAAATAAAAATCACCTAATCATTCTATAATTAAATATGTATCATTGCACAAAGAGTGTTTTCCTGTAAAAATGCAAAAATAGCAAAGGAATCATCACAATTCAAACTGAATTCTTTACATCTGGCGTAGTCTTTCAAGAAGCCTGTAAGAAATTTGTGAGAATCTTCCTAGCCAAGTTCTAGCACAGGTCAGAGTATGGTAAGAAGTGATGGAACAAAAACAAAGTGTCTAATTTCAAGTTCTATAAAACTGTGCTGTAAGAGGTCCACGTTTGCTGTTCATTCACCACTTTACATTCACCATCTGTTTGTAAGACTCAAATGGCTCTTTTTGATAATGACACACAATTATTTAATGTCAATAGGAAGGAAGGTTTAAGGAGAGTTTGAAAGATGCATAGTGAATTTAATTGCAGATCCAGATTATTTATGTTAGAATAATGAAAATGCATATAAGACAGCTCTAATTAACCCCAACTGCTTAGAAAACCTCTTTTAGTAACTCCGTGAACAATTTAATGAAAGCCTCTGCATAGTACAATCAAAGAACGTGCAAGATGTAATTTCTACCTTTCTTTATTCAGACAAATCCAGAAGCATCCTGAACCACTGACGCATGAATAATAGCATAGAAAACAATACTAGATACAGTGATGGTGACTTTCTCCAGCTATGATAAGTTTTCTTCACTTTTATAATACCCAAATTCCTTACAAGCAGTTTGTTTAGTTTTCTGTACTTGGTCCAGCTGAATGAAGGAAGTACTTCAATAGACTGGAAACCAAGAGATTGAAAAATCAAAGGGCAGATTTTCAAAGTGGTATACACTATTCCAATGATTTTTAGAAAAAGAAGGATGTAATAAATGCAAAAAAAAAACCCAACTGGAAACATTCTGCACAAGTCACCTCCAGAATGGAGACACAAAAGTAGCTTAATTCCCAAAATAACATTGATATATTTTTATCTTTTTGCTAGGTAAACACTAGGTCTGCTTAGCTGTATCACCTTGTCAAAGCACCTTCTGTTATGGTATCTCTTTAAAGTTCATCCTTGTATGTCCAAATCTTAACAACAGTCTAAAAACTACCTCTGCTCAGGGCCTGAGTATCCCACAAAAGACAGAGACAGGCTGCCGTGTAAGTGAGTATCACTTTCAAGTGTATGGTTTTGTATAAGCACACGTAGATATGTTGGGAGGGGGTTGAGTGTTCTGGTTTATATATAAACAAACCACTATATATATATACATACACACACACACACATATATATAAAAATAAATATATATTCAGTAAGTGTCTTTAACAGTGCTCCGAGAAATATCTCCTTGTATCTCCTCTTAAGAATGCATCATGCTGGTCCTAGTTAGATTTTCCTCTGCTCTTTCCTTCTGAAAACAGGGCTCAAAAAAGACACTGGAGAATAATAAAAAGAAAAAAGAAAAACAACACCAACAACAAAACCACAACACACTTCCCATAATAAACTGAACTGTCACAATTCTCATCGTTCTGATAGCCTGGAAAATTGTGCCCAGATAAGAACTTCCCATGTTTGTGACTGAATTTCTGCTCTAATATGGTTCCTTGTTCTCATCTTAGTCACGAGGTGGCATCAGAGCTCAAATTTTGGATAACACGGTTATGAGACTTCAGTTGCATTTTTGTTTCCTCCTGCAAATTTATCATTTGATTTGCTGGGGCAAAGACAAAATGTCCAGAAGAGCATTCACAATGAAAGAGAAATGAGAGAACTTGTCAACTGGTGCAGGAGATGGCTGCTCAGAAAGTAAAAATAAGCAAAATGTGATAAATTAAATATTTCCAGAGCACTTTATCAAACAGTAGTGAAAGATGAGTGCTATTTTAAAGGAATCGTGCTCTGATACTTTCTAAATAATTAAAAAATCAGCATCCCTCAAGAAAGTTTTTTCCAGTTGCATACCTGAAGATGAAGGCTGCTTCTTTGATTTACAGGGTTGCTTTGAAGATTTGTCCTCATAGTACTTTCTTGCTTATAGGCTACAAGTGTACAATGATGAAAAAAAAATAAATAAATCATATTTCAAACCTCTTGTTGCTTTTTTTTGTGACTCCTTAGTCCCATCAACTTACATCCAAGTGAGGAAGCCTTCTAACATATTTAACTATAGCCCTTTTGCAACATATTTACTGACATTTCCTTTCCTCTTGATTTCATTCCTCATCTGCCCTTCATAAGCTTCAAATGGCTGCATGGCTATTCCCCATTAAGTATGTGGGCTACTATTCCTCAGAAGTCTTAGCCGAATGTAAAAATGTCCTGCCCTCCTGCAATTCAAATCTATATTCTTCCCAAAAAGACTGCATCTGACTGTCTTCAAAAGATGACAGGCTACTTTCCTTCTGTCCCCTGTTCACACTTGATTAAAGGCTTTTCTGTTTTTGCAGGCTGTTACAAACTACTTTCCTCACCTCAGAAGAGGTGTTATAAAATTCATACCGTTTCACTAAAATGGTGGTGAAATTTCCAGCACACTATGTCTGAGCAACTCTTCTTCCAGACAGCTAGAGTGAGTACTGAGTGGTTTTGAGATAAGTTTAGAAGGACTTGAAAATAGTTTTTTATTTTCCCCACCTTATTTTTCCTTGTAATGGTGCCTAACATCTAATTTTAATTAGAATAAACATTCCAAAAATTGCAAGAAATCTGCAAACATCCTTCCTCGGTAGAAATCTGTGGACTCATTGAAGGCTTGAAGCTCAGCACAAGGGAGAAGCAGTCCTCAAGGACTTAACATTTCAAATTAATTTACCCTGGTTTTATGTGACATTTTGTCCTTTAACAGGCAGAAAAATAAGAGCAAACAAGATCTAAATGACCTTTGTTTATTTGTTTTCTGTTTATTTGTTTTCTCTTAACAACATTTTGACTGAAGTGATTTATACTCAGACTTCACTTACATTCCTCTGTCGATGTTCTCATTAATTTGCATAGAAAAAACTGCCTTATTTGTGCTGGTTTTTTTGCATCTTTTTGCTTTTATGTTGAACGTGCCTCTAGAAAAACATTTCCTAAGCTGATGAAATCAGATTCTTTCCCTTTGCATAGCTACAGCTGCTCTTGATTTCCCAATGACTGAAATGTTGAAACAAGAGTTTCACAATTAGGACTAATAATCTACCAGCTACGAGTTAAGTAGTTATGACCCATCTGCTGAGTATACATTTGCTCTGTTGTTGTTTTTTTTTTGTTTCTCACAGGATCTGGTCAGCAACACAGGTAGTATCTCAAAATACATCCACTGATGTTTTTTTCACTTTTAATAGGTTGTTAACCATGCTAAAGAGGTTAGCAAAGCATATATGCATTATATGTATATATAAGTGTGCAAATATATATTTATATGCACATAATCAAAACAGACACTATTATCACCACCAGTTCAAAAGGAAACTAGAGTTGCAGTTAATCATTCCCTTCTACACATTTTCTTTAGTGAGAAAGGAAGTAAGGGGGTCCTGGTAAAGAATCAAGGTATGATCTCCATTTCAAATCAAGCAAAGCTACAGTTTCCTTCCAATCAACTTTTGCTGTCATAATCAACATTTCCAACTCATTATTATATGGACTAAAGGATTGAGGAATTGCATTGTCTTCACGAGTCTCTTAAGAAAATGCATCTTTTGCTAGTGCCACACTCAAAACATAAACGGTGGTTTGGTTTTGTTTACTCTGAAGCTTATAATTTGACCAAACAGAACTCTCAGCACAGGATGTCTATGCATATGTCTGCTTGTTTGTTTGTAGTTCTGTTTTAATTGACAGCTACCATGACTATATGCCATAAACTTCTTTGGTCTGAATCTCTTCTACTTACCCTATTAGGACAATAAGGAAACTATAGTAGAGTGGGAAGTATAGTTATTGGAAAATAGTTGAAGTAGCGAAAGTGAAATGGAAACGTATAGGCTCAACTGCACTGTGTGATAATGCTACATTCTTTTTTATTATTATGATTACTATTATGTCACTTATGCACTGTATGCAGACTTGAAAATAAATTCAGAAAAGCAAAATGGGACATATAAAATTCCACACAAGTTCTTTTTTTATTTTTTGTTAGTTTATTTGCTTTGCTTATATGAAAACTTCATGTTTTTCAGGATTAATCAAGGAAATAGAAATTTGGAGGCATTCTTTGACTTTGGATTAATAATGGCAACAAGACATACTAATGCCATTCAGATTAAAGACACTGAAAAAATACATTCCAGGTGACAGGTTTTTGAACAGCACACATACAGACTAAGTACCATTCCAGATAAACCTCACTGTGTAAAGCCTGTATTTCATGTAGACAGCTGAGGCAAACACAAAGACTTTCAGCAACAGGGCTTGAGTGCATTGCAGGAACATGAAACTTAGTTATCACTTCCACATAAAGCCACAAGGATGTTTTCATAATCCCCTTTCAGTTCATCCTGCCAATTTGAGTACAAAAAACACATTGTTAGAGTAATAGTCTTGGGCAAAAAGAAATTTCAGTAACCATTCAATATACATCAATCCTTCATCTAAATAAATTGATCCCTTGCTAACATGTATGTGTTAAGCAGAGACTGAGCTTGCACCAAGTACTGTCACTGAAGTTACTTGTACGACCTAGAAATAAACACATGCATTTCCAGAGTGAAGCAGAGGTAGATGAAGCCAGTAAATGTCCTGGGAGGTTTCATGGCACAAATAAAGAAGTAAAGAAGATTTCTATCCAACTAGGAGCTAAAGTTTTTCCTCTCCAGACAAAGTGAAAATATTTTCCTTCACCAGTGATGACTAATGCTACACTGTACACATTGTATCTCAGATTATCTCAAAGAGAGGCAAACAGTACAGTGATAATTTGATTCACCATAGGACTCTTTATCTAGCTTGGGGAAAAGTGGTAACATGCAGTAAGTATGCATTGTAATTATTGCACACTGAATTTTCTCAAATGTTAGTCTGCTTTCCAAATACACAAATTGCTGACTGCAGCCAAGCGATGCCTCATGCTATTTGGATGCAATCACCACTTTGGAACACAATGAGGTCATGTAATTACACACCAAATGACAGACCACACACAGTCATGAGAGAAGAAAAAAAGTTATCTTTGGCACCTAGCTGAAAAAGTAGCAGACACTAATAAAGGTCAAAAAGGCATTTGGATACATGTAGGGAGTATGTCTCTATTCCAATCCAGATGCTTTGTGCGTGTGTGTGTGTGTCTGTGTGTCTGTGCGTGTGTGTGCACGTGCATGCGTGTTTGTGTGTAGTGTCTACTAGCCTCCACAAAGCTATTTTGCAAGTTCAGCTTTCTTTAAGTCCCTCACCGATTTAAATTTTCTGGAAAAGACACCAGGTAGTCTGTTACCTTTAATAAGGTACTTCACTTAAGTCACCTGGAAAGCAAGCCAAATAAATGTAAAATTAACCAGGTATTTGCAGGAGTACTTCTGGTGTGAAAAAAACAATAGCCAGTTGCATGAAATATCTCACATCAGTGAAATCCATGCTATCATCTCCACTCCTGCCACTATACCTTATGCCTGCCCAAGCACAGGAGCTTGTGGGATATTGAAGTCTCCATTCAACTCTTGGCTTCTACTGTCAGATGCTATCCTGAGACATGTAGCATTACTGACAAACTGTTATAGCTTTTGTCACAGTAACATTGCCGCAGAAAATTTAATTATTTCTATCAGCATGGGAATATGAGTTGATCAGCTACAATGAGTTACTCAGGATAAACTGCTGACTAAGGAGGAGAAAAAAAAACCAGTGAATTCTCAAAATCATTCAGTTGTTTTGGATTTCATACATCACTGAGAAAAAAACCTACCATAATGGCTTGACGGAGAGAGATGCCATACAGTCTCTTGTAATAGCCTTTGATCTCATTCATATCCACTTCATGGCGTGAAACCATGATTCTGATGAGGTCTTTGTGTCGTGTCCCCAAGCCCTGTTAACAGAAAAAGGAAAAAAATAAAGAAAAAGGCTACTATTGTCATTGAAGCATCTTAAATCATGGGGCTGTGTCCACTAGATTTATTTGTGAGTTTGCAGAGCCCACATCCTATTGCTTTAACACCACTCATGTATCTCTCCCTTCTGTTCCTTACAAACACAATTAACTTCTGACAGGCTGCCTCCACCCCTGCTTTATTTTTACAAATTTCTTTTAGGAGTTTCCAAAGAGAGGCACGTCCTTCACTGTGGTTGCTATACACCAGAGACAACCTAGACGTCAATGTCTTTTTAAAATGTTTTTTAAGAGTGCAATGAACTGTATTTTCATAACGACTCACTCAAGATTTCCCATACTAGTCCCAACCAAGTCATAGGAGGTAATAAAACACCTACATAGTAGACTGTTTCAGGATCTCTAGCCTCTTCACTCAACACAGGTTCCAAATTTGCCAGGACCACAGACAACTTGTCAAAGATTAGGCTCTACAAAGTTCTTGTCCAGATTTAGAATTTCTTTCCTATTTAGTTTTAACTAAAATTGATGCAATTTCAAAAGAAGAGAAGTTCCAGTTCAGTTTCTGTCACAACTAGAGTAAAAGAGGTATGTACAGATGGACAGATGTCTTCCTGAACACATGATAGCAATAGAGAGTTCCTTCTCTAGAAGAACACTCAGAGGTTTTGCAGGAAAGAACAGAAGGTGAGAAATACACTGAATTTCCTTCTGCAGTCTTCTTTAATCACACAAAGGGCTTAGAGAGCTCTAACTAGCTTGTTATTTTTCAGCCTACAAAGCACTCCATGTTTAGAAGGAGAAGCTATTTCTGTAGGTTACCTTCATGGCCAAGTGGAGTTTTTCAGCAAAGAAAGCTGGCTTGCTTGTGGCACACTTCACTGCAATGAAACAATGAGATAAGGTCATATGTGTTACATATGTAACAAGTAAAAAGAGGCAAAAGTTTGGAAAAAAACCCACTGCAAAAGCAGACTTAATGTTCCTACCAGCATATCCTATTTATGTACTTCTTCGTTACCTCTCTTCAAAACATGGGAGAAGTAGCAATTCCTTTCATCTGTCTATTTAGAAAACAATTCAGTCAGGGGAGAACAGTTACTAGACTGCACTCCCTAAGTTTACTGCCACAAAATTAAGAAAGACATTGCAGTTCCCAAGAAGAAAAATGTGAAAGTATTTGTCTTCCATAGCAGAGCTGAAGATTATGATCTGATGTTTTCTAAACTGATTGATACTAAGTACTTGTCTTCCACTCCTGATATTAAGAGAGATGTGATGGGACAAATTCTTTTATCCCAGGTATGCTTAACTGATACAAAAGCTGAGAATAAGATGACACTTCACTTGTAATTCCACTCCCGGTCCAGGGATATAGAGGGATTTCAGTGAGGCTTTTTTGTCATGAGGAACACTAATATTAAATGTCTTAAATACACATTTTTATCTCAAACTTTGTAAGACGTAATTTCTTGGTTTTAATAATAATTCATTAAAAAACGTCTTTGAAAAAAACAAATGTAGATAAGAGTGGGCTTGGGTTCAGTGATTTTGAAGACAGGTTCAAAACTACTGGATATTGTCCCTGTTCTGACAGCCCTTTCTGGCACATCGGCTTTCTGTAACTATCTTCCTATGTTGATGACACATCTATTCTCCTTAGAAGATCTTTCGACGTAACAGGAGAGGTACTGCTATTCATTCATCATCTTTAACTGACTTTAAATAATTCAAATCACTATATTCAACCTACATTTTCCAAATTATTATTTAGCAAGTTTCTCAGCGAAGCAAGGTAAGACCCCAATGGGTTATCAGAGCCATTATGATAGAAATAAATGTAAGTTTTCGTATGGTCAGTACATATACTGGGTTACAATCTGCAGGACTACTTACCAAGGGCAGTCAGGCAATTCTCAATATCACCTTTCAGCTCCAAATCCAGTACTTTGTTCATGTCATGCTTGCTGTATTTGGTATACTTCTGAAAGACTAAACCAGGGAGGAAAACGCAGTGAACGGTGATGAAAATACAGTATTTTCCATGCATTGCCTCTGCCTTATTCTGCCCTCACTACTGCAGCAGTGCACACAAATTGTAGGTAATTTTCTCATTTTCGTCAGCCAGCACTTTGTAATGAGCAGTGTTATTGCATGGACTGGTGGAGTCAGAATAAGGACTGAGACTCCATTAGGATGGCAGGGTTTGTGTTGACATTGGTAGAGACAGAGCTAGTCCAGTGACTCCACTAGAGCTTCTGATATTAGGTTCTATCTCTCTACCCAGGGCAAACTGGCTGAGGAACAAGTCCATATTGGGGAGCATTCAGAGCACCTGCCACGCTGATCCATTGACCTTGTGATCACTGGCTGTGTGAGACTTTGTGATAACAGTTTCAACAATAAGCTAAATAATACTGCTCATCACCCATATGGAATAACACCCAGGCTGCCAACGGTACCCTTAGTCAGCAAGCATCTGTTCAATTATAAAGACCTTTGTAGCAGTCAGTCATGTCTTGATAATATTTCTCTCTCTGAGTTCATGAGCAGGCCATGTTCAAAATACAAATCCTGTGAAGCACAAAGTTTCACCCAACCTACCCCTTCGGAGATGTGGATAGCTTCTAGCAGTAAGAACAGTAACAAACACATTAATATCTGTTCCTTTCCTTTTCTCTCCTGCTTCATACAAGGCCTGTCATAATGAAAATAAAGTAGTAAAGTCAGCATCAGTTTAGTAAAACCCAATCACAAATACTGTACCTCTGAGGCTACCAACCAAAGGTTGGCCATTGCTAGTCAGTAAGGAACTCTAGCCCTTGACACAATCCATAACAAAACTACACAATTTCAAACTAACTACAGTTCTATCTAGTAATACTTCATACTTCACTGATGTCATAATAGTACCTAGAGAACACTATGCAGCTTGTCCTGATTTGGGGCAGGATAAGGCAAATTTTCTTTTTACTGATTTTTTTTATAATTATTTTTTCTTCGGTGAAATCTCTTTTGAGCAGCATAAAAAGCACATTTTCAGACATTTTACAATCATCATCTCACCCCACTGAGTATATTACACCTTTGAATGAAGGCATTTTTCATATATCATTATATACTTAGAGACTTCATGGGAGACCAGCAACCTTTCTTCAGTCAAACAAATTAATTTCTGATATTAACTGGACAAATGTGAAAGAGAAGTCTATGGATCAAGTCTTTCTTGTCTTTCCGGGAGTGACTTTAATAGAAAGGAAGAACCAAATTAGTCTCCTTCATTTTTCTCACCCTCTCAAATCTCTCTAGAAGTAGTAATTAAAGACCTTCATACAGAAACTAAGAAGTTCTAAGAACACCATCCCTGCACCAAGAGAAATAGACTGGAACTTTTGAGCTTAGACAGAGTATTAATTCACTGTCCTTTCATATCTAAGGCTGATGACAAAACTAAACTCATTATGTAGCAGGAATAAAAGCAGTATTGGTAACAGGCCTTTTCTTGGCTGGATTTAAAAAAAAAAAAATCAAGTCAGTCTATATCGAACTTGAAACTTGAAATTTTACAGGTGAAAACTAGTGAAGGACTGCTAACATTACCAAGATTTTAAGAAAAATAGTCACACTACTGGTGGAAGAAATAACAAAAACTAAGACTACTTTCTTGTTTCAGAATTAGTCAGATTATGACTGAAAGGTTCACCCAATAAACTTGAAAGGTTCACCACTGTAAAGCATTAGGTATTGCTAACATACTGCAGAGTTTACATTCATCAAGGTATGGTAGCTGATTGTCCATACCTAAGTACACCCTGTCTCTCAGTTCAAGAACCGAGCGATAAACAGAAGGCAGATTGTGTTTCTGAATGTTTCTGAAGCTAGGTATGAGTGAAGATTTAATTTCCTTCAGACAGCAAAGCTTACAGGAACTTTGTAAAATACTAGCCCCTCAGGAAAGATCCCTATATAACATATAGATCTCTGTTAGGTCTGTAATGTACAAGATTCAAGTAGAACATTTGCAGCCAGAGTTTGTGATCTCAAGTAATTGGATGAAGAAGCTCTGCTTCTGTAATTATAATCTTACCCTGGCATCGTTGTCAGCAAGCTCATCATTCACCTGAAAATCTTCAGATCGATCAGCCTACATAAATTAATAAAGAGCATTTCAGTGTTCCTCACAAGAATTCAGTTCACCAAAACTCAGTATTTTAAAGTTCTGCCCTACCATTCTCATACATAACTTAATACATAATTACAGATAGATACAGTTAGATCAATCATTCTGTGAATAAAGCTGTTGTATTTGTTAATCAATGAGATCAGCAACTTTTTTTCTGAAGTCCTACATTAAAATCCACATAGTATTGTTTCTTTATGTAATGTTACAGTTGAAAACTGTGATTTTCTTCCTGATGACCATTCAATAGACTCTTTTCAAGTTGGTTTGAAACCAAAAACTGAAAATTAAAATTATGCTCAGGAATGTATTAAAAAATAATCCCACAACCATGTAAAGCTTCCTATACATGTATTCAATAATCATTGAATCAAATGTGTATGCATTTTAAAAGGGTCTTTCTAATGGGCAACTCCAGTGTTTAAACTCATCTGGTTTTGATCATGAATTCACAAAATATTCTGCCCACATGTTAACGCCCTGCCCTTGTCCCATTATCTAGCTACTACAAATATAACAGCAAGCCTAAACCTTTGTTTCTTTAACTGTAAGTATTTATCCTTTTTCTATTCCTAGTCAGTTGACACAAAATGATTCCTTTTGTTTTTTCAGCTGTTTACAGATAGCTAGCACACAAAAAGAAACCAACATCATAAAACAAAACCAATAAACAATAGTAAATATCACTGTTTTTTAAAACGCATTTAGAGAGTAAATCTCACAGAATCATCCTGGCTGGGAAAGAACACAAAGATCATCAAGTCCAACCATAACTTAAATTCACCAACCACAATCTAATCTACCCATTATGCATGTAAATAACATTCCTAAGTACCACATCTATATTTATTTTAAGCACTTCCAGGGATGGTGACTCCACCACCTTCCTGAGCAGCCTGTTCCACTGTCCAACCACTCTTTCAGTAAAGAAATTCCTTCTAATATCCAGTCTAAACGTCTCCTGGTGCAACTTCAGGCCATTTCCTCTCATTCTGTCATTATTCACTTGAGAGGAGGCCAACTCCCACCTCCTTACAACCTCCTTTCAGGTTCTTGTAGAGAGCAATGAGGTCTCCCCTCAGCCTCCTCTTCCTCAAAGTAAACAAACCTAGTTTCCTCAGCCTCTCCTCATAGGACTTACTCTCCAGACCCTTCACCAGCTTGGTAGCTGTCCTCTGGACACACTCCAGCAACCTGACATCCTTTTTTTGTAGTGAGGGGCCGAGAACTGAACACGGTGCTCGAGCTGTGGCCTCACCAGTGTCGAATACAGGGGAACAATCACTTCTCTAGTCTGGCTTGTTTAAGAACTATTTCATACGGTGGAAGATATGTAAATAAAACGAGTGCAAAGAAAAAAATAGTAGCTAAAGCCTTGCTTATTGCATGCCTTTCTCTAAAATTGTCTTGACAACATTAATTTTTTAATACAGGAAACATCACTCAAAATGTTTAAGCACAGCATACCTTGGCTAGAGCAAGCAAAGCCTTTTGAAAATCTCCAGATGTGTCAGAGATGATGTCTTGTGCCAGATCTCTCTTCAGCACTGAAATAAAATGGATTTGTAGTTTGTTCTAAAGTTATCAACCAAGTTGACTAGATGCTCTTTAAAGGTCCCTTCTAACCCAAAGCATTCTGATTTAATTCTTTTTTTAGCCTTTTCTTAATTTTCCACTTAAATATGCACACTAGAAATGCAAGTTTCTTATTTTCTCTCAATTAGCTTCAAGAGAAGGGGTGTATCTGTGTTATGTCCTTTAATCCCTGAGATATGCTGTGAAATTGCAGGGTAAAGCCAAAATCAGCTGAAGAAACTCCTTCTTTAGGGTCTTGTGGATGGCCTTGGCATTGTCTTTGACACTTGTGAAGCACATTAGGAAAAAAAAGCTTGAAACTTTTTCTAAGCTGTGTGTCTTTTGTTCTCATTTCTGATTCTTATCAGAATGGAAAAAAACTCACACTATTAATTTGGGCTTCTAACTCAGACTATTTGAATGAAAATCTCTTTAAAAAGTTAGCCCATAATCTCAGAAAACATGATACCATTAGACAACACTGACTGAGTGCAGTAATCTCTACCCATGAGAGAAACTACATTACATTATAGTTATCTCTTCAAAGATTGTCCCCCTTTAGCTCACTGTTTACGGCTCATGTTATAAGTGTTGCTAAATCAATACACTTTTTTTTCAAGCCTGGTAAGATCTTAAGGTGCCAGGCAAGGTTTAGTTACAAAAGAAAAGCATCTGGGTTTTGCTTTCATCCTGGAAAGCATTTAAATGCATGGCCCATTCCATAAGACATCTGCAGTTCTGGCAGTGATGTGCCTTTTCCTTCTGTATGAGGATCCACACAGGCCAGAAGAAGTCAGTATGATCTGCCTCTTCTGCAACTCCTTCAATCTTATGTGAAGCTTAACTTGTCTGCTATAATGTCACCTCAGCTTCTCATATAAAAAAAGTGGGGCTGTGACTGCAATGTGTCTGCTATAGAGCTGTACCATTAATACATCTTTCCTGCTCTGAATTACCTTCCTTGTAGTATCTGCTGGCTTCTCTGATCTCTCTGTTGTTTCTTGAGACCAGAATCTCAATTAAGGTAGCTTCATCAGTTCCAAGCCCCTGATATACAGAGAATTGAATTTTTAGAAATGTTACTTCTTACAACAAACTTTTAAAGGATGAGAAATAACATTAAAATCATAGACTTGGCTTTGAAGGCCCTATGTGGGAGAAGAAAAATTAAGAACATTGCGTTCTACATAATAGAGTTATTTCACCTCTTTTAGAAGTATTTTTTTATCACATCTAATATCACCAGTACCCAAAAGAAGTAATAAAAGGACAAAGCAGTGCTAAAAAAAGAGATACTGTAAAATTTATGAAGAAAAATACCTCCTCTCCTTTTTCTTTTCTCTTATGTAAACACCATGCCTTTCTACCACTACATCAGCAAGCAGCCTTCAGAAGGCAGAAAGAGTTAATTCTCACTATGGGAGTGAGAGCTTGCAGCCCATCTCCTCCAAATCTGAAGCTCAGTGGAGGTTGCCAGATCTTGCTCTCAGAGCTTGGATTACCAGTATAGATTTATTTAACAGTGGAATTAAAATGAAGACAACACACAAGCTTTGAAATCCAAGTCCTTTGTCACTCCCAGGTCCTGACAATTATTTTTCTTTGAGAAAGTTTTCTCAGAGGCCTTTGCCTTACTTTCATAGAGGCTCTTAGTTCTTCAGCATCAAATTGAGCTGGAGTTTTGAGCAGAGCCACAACCACATCTTCCACGTGGCTTTTTAGAACTTTTTTCAGGGCTTCTTCCAGAGTCTGTAACAGAAAAAGTAAGAAACACACTAAGCTAGTGAATAGTAAAAAGCTGCTGCACAGCTACCATCCAAAATTTGTCTGATCTCTGATGAATCTTAGTTTACATCATTCTTTTAGCTACTAGAAATAATTATGAAGGCCTATTTGAAACCTCTTATTTGTCACTTCTATGTTTCTCAAAATATCAGAGTTTTTCAGTAAGTATACCAGAGTGCTTTCACACTTTGAGGTTTAGTCGTATTTCACCCAATTAGAGCATCAGAAGAAGACGTAAAATAGGATGCTTGTTTTTTAAAAGAAAGTAGTACTATTATTGCTGTTATGATTATGACTCTGTTGCTTATCTGGATAACATTTTAATTTATTAATTTGTTGCATGCATATTTTGCAGTGGAAACTCTGCTGACATACTGTAATATCACCCTACACAAAACTACAAGTCCTGAATTATGTTTTATGATATACTCTAAATTAGACCTAAATTTAAGTTACCAAAAAAAAATGATCGCATTTATTCTGACTTCTATCTGGATATGCTCAATACTCTATTCTATCACATTAAAAGTTACAGCACTCTTCTGCACCAAATGTGTGTCAAGGCTGTTGCTGTGAGGTCAACTTGCTTTGTCAGGTTACCTACACAAACAAGATTATTTAAGAAGTAAGCATTATGTCCACAGTTATTTCTGTTCTGCTTTTGATAGTGCTCCAGGAATCAGAGTACCTAATTATCTAACAGCATTGGTCTCCCTGTGTTTTTGAAGTTATATTTTAATTTAGGTCCTTAAAAAATGTCATAGCAAGGCTGAAGTTTCCTATTGGGGGGGGGAGAGCTTTGAAAACCACAAGTCAGTTTCCTGAACAGAAACAGGAAAGGTAGGCTAAAGTGAGAGAGTAGACTTGTTTTCAAAGTTGGCTCTTAAACGTTGCAACTAAGAGTTAAAAACCAAAAAATTCAAAGGAATCTGAGCAAACACTCTGTAACTGTGGTATGCCAACTGTACTTTCAATTTAGAATTACAAGTTCAATTGTAGAAAAACTGTTATAGAGCAAACATTTTCCAGAAACATGCAGCAATTTTCAAGCTTCTCATTTCTAGGGACTAGCAGTCTTACCACTCAGAGGTACAAGAACACTGTCTCCTGTATACCCATCTCTATACCAGTGTTGATATACATGTAGAACAGCATTTTGGTCCTACAATTTTCCTATCCTATTTAATATTCTATCTGGACTTAAGTATTCAAAGAGATATCTCCAACCCCCTCCCTTCTACTTTCACTTTCATCAGACTGTCTCACAGATGGTAGTGAAATCTCTGCGTCTCACAGCAATATAATGATTTAAAGGATCCCTAAGATAATAAAAAAAGATGGAAGGAAAGAACTTAAATTTTTTTCTTTCTATTTCAAATGAGTGGCTGCTGCATTCAAAGGCCCAGCTTGGGCAATATAGTTGCAGGTTATAATCATTCTGTCATGATTTTCACAAGCTACAGAAGGTAGAAGACCATAACCTTTTGCTCTATGAAGCCAAAGCTGTATGTACCATCTGAGCCATAAGCACTATTGATACTCTTGGTATAAATTTAAGCTTGGCTTGAATATACTTTACCTTTCCTTTGGCCTGCTGATAGGCAGCTTTGATCTGCTGACGTTGAGCATTTGTTCTTTTAGTCAAGATGTCAATGATCGTGCCTTCATCCACACCTATGAGTCACCAAACAACATGTCTAATATATTGGAAATATTTTACCAGTCTCCAGTGCTTTACATCACATTTTGATTTGTTGACACACTTAAGTTTAAACAAAGGAAAAACCATAATCATTTACTGACTTTCAATTAGTGATTTAGTGAAGAATATCAATAAATAAATGTCCATAGTACACAGAAACCTGTTTCTACAATTTAATATAGAAAGTCCTAAAGTGTTTTGAGTGCAGATCTTACATTACAGAATAACTTAAACAAAACAAAAAACATTGATGGCATACTCACTTAATCTCAGTAAGTAAAACTGAAAAAGGCTTCAAGTGTAATTTTCTTTAAAAGAAAAAAAGTGCAACAGAAGCATATACGACATTATCAGCATATTCACTGCTTCTTGCAGGGATTTTATAGAAATCAAATTTTAAAAAGTACTATCATGTTGTGTTATAGTATATTTTTATTCCCTAGAAATTAAATTGTTACAATTTTTTTTCTTCAATATATTCATATATTTTAATGTAGTATTAAGATCTGAAATTGTAATACAACATCAGGACATCAAAGAGTAGAAATGTTTTACCAAGTGGCATAATTTAATGTATTGCCAAGCTTTTAAAAACAGAGGAACCTCTCCTGATTGGCATTGCCTCTCACTCTGATATTTTATTCAGTGTTATTCTCAAAATTTCCTAAAGAAGAGTCCTAATGTAGCAGTTTAATTTTTTTTTTCCTCTTACCTTTTACAGTAATAGCTCTGTCCAAAGCAACAACATCAGCTGATGGATCAAAGTTAGGGTATGTCTGTACTCCAGGGCCACCTTTTGAACTTTTCTGCAGAGGGGAGAAAAAAACAACCAACCAACCAACCAACCAACCAACCAACCAACCAACCAACCAACCCCAAACAAACAAACAAACAAACAAGTTTTTTGACTACAGAGAAATACACAGACTGATTACTGGGTATACTTTGGATCGAGTTCTATCGCATCTTTTATATTAAACAGAAAGTACTTGACACATTGTTTTAGGCATCTGAAGACTTATTTCTCAGAATAAGTTGGATTCAACAGGAAACTGTAATGTTAGGCAATTGTAATGAAATTCTACAGGCTCTAAAAGTACAATTAAATCAGTAAAGCACTACTAACTGCTTTGCTCATCTTATGCAAATTGTGCATCACATTTAAGTGACCTATCAGCTGACTCATTTTTAAGGCTACAAACACTTCTTGCATGTAAGATCTTGGAGAAGAGTTCAAGTCTAATCCTACAAGGAAGTGGAGAACTGTTACCCAACTTCTTTGAAACTTGAGATATAAGCCAGACCTTCTTCACAAGCATTATCTATTTGCCTCGTTTGGTGAATTCACTCCTAGACGGGCGTTCCCTCATCACTATATTAAGTGCTCTGGGTGTAACTAGGGATGGTAAATGTCACTATTTGATGACTACGTGGCTTAAATGAAGAATATGACAAATTAAGTTACTGGTAGGGTCTATAACCTAACGACCTAGCCAATGCAATACTCATTATCGTCTTCTATGGAAGCTATAAATTGTCCCAAGATTCTTGGTTAAAATATGTATATACAATTCCCCTTGTTATGATACATGGTGTGACTTTTAATTAAAAAACAAAACAAAACAAACAAAAGCCAGCAATAAAACAGTAGCATAGGTAAACTTTTTCAGAATTACCTATGTTCTGTTCTTTTTCAACAGTTACTTTATTTTTTTAATTAGCTTGCAACTGAAATTAAATAGAACAAGACAAATGGCAAGGTTTTCTGGATATTTGTTTTACATCCAGCATTCTGTATTGAATTTTGCATATTTCTAATGTCTATTAATATTCAACCCTCTACACAATTATATCACTAGGAATTTTATGAGAACAGAGGGACTCTAAACTTAAAGTAGTATCTTGCACACTTTTGAAAAAAATCACTAACTTGTGTCATAAACCAATAGACTGGTTTGCTGCCTGTTTCCCAGGCACACCAGGTTACTCTTTGTATTCTGGTTTCCATGGCAAACTTATCTGTTAGCAATAAGAAACTATCTATAGCAAACACAACCAGAGTAACTCAGGACCCTGGGAGTGCAAGATCATGGAGACAAAGATTTATGCACAAAATGTTGTAGAGTCAAAACTACGAAATGCACAAAGGTTTCAGAAAACTTTATTTACTAAAATTCCGCCCCCCCATATTCAATTTTTATTATTATTTTTTTAAGATGAAAGTTCTTTCAGGATCTCCTGTGACTTCACAGTATTCCTCTTTACTTTTGCTGGCAGTCGTTTCATTGTCTTAATCAAATTCATTATTCAGGAAGATCCTCCATGTCATTGCAGTGCAATAACTCCTAACTTCTCACCACAGTAAGCCTCCCTACTAATCAGTATAGGTACACATAATCTGAGATGGTTTTTTTACTTACTGTGACTCTTTCCACCATAAGCATGACATATGATATGAAAACTAGGACATATACTGGTGTCTTTAGTTCCTTCTTTACATTCCTGGACTTCAAATCATAACTTCCTGTACAGGCTGAGTCCCTGTTTTTCATGTACATCATCTGAACGTGTTCTTACACATTCACATACCTGTGCATCAGACTAGTCCCTTAAAGAGGACAACTTGAGTACATCAGTGATAGATAACTGGGATTTTCAATTTCATTAGAGCAGCTGCCTAGGAATAGATAACTAGACAGACGTATGCAAATAAGAGTAAATTTTATCTGATAGCAGGCTTACTGTGTTATCAGATTACATTAGATTATATGTTGCAATAAAATTGAGTTCCAGTTCTAATCAGCTTGAGTTTTGCCATTGTTTTTTTTCCTTCTGATTACATGAAAGACATTTGGTGGTTCAGACTTTTAAGTCACTTCTACAAGTACTTGAAAATAAACATGATGCTTTCAAAAGATAGTAACACTTACAATGCATTCC